CTCTTTCTATAGCATTTATCAGGGTTATACACATAGAGGGCAGTCCATAAAAATTATACACAAAGCTTTGCTCCTTTCTCCTCATCAGTAATCAAGTTATTCTGCAACATAAAATCCTTTAGAAAGGCTACATCGAAGTATTACAAAAATGACATGTTTGACTTGAAGAGAAATATTATTAGCTCTAAAAATATTTGTTGAGCTCATACTATCATACCACTGCTACCACTATGCTAAACATGCCAAAATAAAAATCAGAGCTTCTGGTTTCAATGAGCTCCCAGTTTATGATGTGGAGATACATATACACAATTAACTATAAAATAATGTGGTAAACAAGCATGCTCCAGACATAGAAGAGAGAATGCAAATCCAGTCTGAGGGAGGGAATGTGGGAACCTTTCTGAAGTATCAATCTTATTGTCTTAAAGTGTGAGTAGTATCTAGCCAGCGGTAATTGTTGTATTTCAAGGTAATAAAATAACAAGAAAATGTAGAGGTAGCATTCACAGAGCATACTGTAGAAGAAATACTAGCCAACTGGACTTGCTGAACGCAAAATGAAAGTTGAAGGCATGAAACTAGGGAGTAAGTCAGGGTCAGGCTATGATACATTTTGTTAAGAAGCTTGGGTTTTATCTTATAGGATCTACAAAGTAAAGGATAGAGAACCAGTTAGTGTTTTAAAATGACACAATATAGCAGCATTATTCATAATAGCCAAAAGGTGTAAACAACTCAAATGTCCTTCAACAGAAGAAGGGATAAACACAATGTAAAATACACATACCATGGAATATTATTCAGTCTTAAAAAGAATGAAATTTTGATACATGCCACAATGTGAGTGAACTTTGACGTTATGGCAAGAGATATAAGGTAGACACAAAATGACAGATATTGTATAATTCCACTTATATAAAATATCTAGAATAATAAAGCTTTTAGAGACAGAAAGTAGAATACTTGTTTCCAGGGGCTAGGGAGGTAAGAGAAGGTGGAGTTATTGTTTAATGGGTCTGCAGTTTCAGTTTAAGAAGATGAAAAAGTTTTGAAGATGGATAGTGGAGATGGTTACCCAGCAATGTGAACGTATTTAATGCCACTAAATTGTATACTTAAAATGGTTAAGATAGTAAATTTATCGTTATGTATATTTTGCCACAATAAAAATAATATAGTAAAGTTTATTCTATTTTAATAAAAATTTAATATGAGAAATACTTACATATTAAAAATTCTGGAGTGTAGTGTGAATTTGGATGAGTCAAGATTGGAACCATGGATGCAGGAACACTGGATGAGGCACACTAGTCTAAGACTACTTCAAAAAAGGAGCATGAAGCGTAAGGCCGGAAGGGAGGAAAATGATTGGGAAACATTAAGAAATATAACTGAAAATGAGGTTGCCAGGCTTTGGTGATTGACAATTATCTGTACTGTAAAACTTAGTGGCTTAAGACAATAATTTATGATTTTTCACGATTTTATGGATATCTTAGTCAGTTCAGACTGCTGTAAGGAAGTACTATAAACAGCTTAAAAATGCAGCTTCAGAATTACAAGTCACTAAGTTATAGCACAGGCATTATAAATCTTAGAGACTTTTACTGTATGTTTTTGTTTCCAAGAATTCAAACGAAAGATAATTAGCAAAAGATCCAATGTGAATATGCTTCATAGGATCAAAAGAAAATAGGGATAAGGATAAGTTAAAAAGCTTCCTCTCATATGTATAATTTATAAGAAAACACAGTAGGAGTTTATATTATATCTCAAACCATCAAATATTTCTTGAGAACAATAATGTTTCTGTTTCATAAATTTCCAAAAGATAAACTTGTTTTTTGTAGTTTTCAGGAATATGTGGGTTGGGATAAGCTGTTAAATCCATAATTTCAAAAACTGGTAATTCTTAATTTCATTTAGCAATGAGTGATGGAGAAAATCTGGGACATTAAGTAATATCCCTAAGAAAAATAACTCTCAAATTTAAATGTAAACATTTTTGCAAAAGAAACAAAAGAAATAATTCTTCATCATTGACAAACTAAATAATTTCATCTGAATAATGGAAAATAGCAGATCTTATTGCTAGCCCTTTTTGTTAGTCATCATAGAGTCAGAAGTACCAGTTTCATGCAAAAGAGTAATTCTTTTGAGATCCAAGAAAAGAAGTCCAATACATAGTAAAAGTTTTCAAAGATAGCATTATCCTAATGTTTTGTGCAGCTTTTGCTTCTGTGACAAAAGCTACATTGGAAAGAATTGCTTATCTTGTGAATATACACATTTTGGTGAACAAAAAACTATGCTTTGAAAACAATTGCTTAATCTTTTCATTTGTATTTATTTAAATCAGTATGAAATAAAAACTGTTTTATAACTAATTTAAACTTAAGATTTTCTATTTTAAGTTTTATAAGAAATTTTTCACTTTCAAATCAATCATGAATCACTTAATAAAGCCAACTCAATATTCAAATTTTCTTGGTTAAATTATGTTTTTTGACGATAGTAATAACTAATAATAATACATAGCTACTCTTCCATGGGCAAACAGGCCATGAAGTATGCTAAACTTGGGATTTGCATTATTATGCACCATCTTCACAAATAACTTATGAGGTAGAGAGTAATACACACACACACACACACACACACAACAGAGCAATATATATATATATATATATTTTTTTTTTAATTTAGTACCTAAAAATATCATGCAATATATATATTTTAATTTAGTGACTAAAAAAATATAGTGCTCTCTGTTTTGTTTCTGAATCACTAAAAATAGTCATTCCTACTAACTAGGTTTGTGATATTAGACAAACAATCCTTTGAGTTTCTGCTTTGTCTCCTTTAAAATGGGATCATACTGACCTCACAGGTTGTTAACATTTTAGCGTCTCCCAGTAACAGACTATGAGCTCTACAAGGGCAAAGCCACAAAATCTTAAATGTCCTGCATGTAGCCTGGAATGTGTCCTATAAAATGTATGTTCAAAGAGTCAATGAATAAAGAAATGAATGAATAAATAAAATATATAAAAATATTTTTTTAGTAAAAATGTAAACATGTTAATATGCAATAAATTTATATTAATTTTTTTGCCTTGGACAATCCTATAACAAGAATTTGGCAGCTTCAGTTGATTAAATATCATCTGTAGCATTTGGTTATGAGAGTATGTTAAAAGAATTTATGAATATTTTGTTTTGATGTTTTCATAAGTCATTATGGCCAAAGGCAAAGTCAAATCAGTTATGATATCAAGACCAAAATCAGAGTAGGTATAAAATAGGGCTGAGTTGTTTCACTAACTGCAGAGAGTATAAAAGTGAAACGAGAGTATATCTAGCTGCTAGCTACTGTGTTCTTTGTTTCATTTCATGATTTGCATTATTATGCACCATCTTCACAAATAACTTATGAGGTAGAGAGTAATACACACACACACACACACACACACACAACAGAGCAATATAT